AGGAGACAGAGTTTAAAAGACTTCCGAGACCACACCGGGGGCATTGTTGGCAAGATCAATGTACCACATCATCGTTGTCTTGCTCACGTTTATATTAATCATTTTTGCACATTTGATGGCCGTGCTCATGACTCTCCTTGTCTCAATCATCGGTGCAGAATATCTTGTTCGAATGAACAGGATACATAATGGCATATGCAGTATGTTATTACGGACAGAGACAAGGGAGATTGGAATGGCCACTTCTGGCTTATTAGCCGTCGTCAGCCAGTCATGCCCAACCCCGCAGTGTAGAACACCCGAGGCTCGAACTCGCGACCTGTTAGTTAGAAGTCCACGCCTCTAACCACGGGGCCACGAATCCGTTGGCCTGTCGGGCATGATGAAACAGCGCATACAATAAAGGAGAAACATAGAAACAGAATAATCACAGTCGGATTGCGCTGACCAGCCGCAAAAACTGATTTTTTATAACAACACCGGATTGTTGCTCAGCGCTCCATAAATCGCACCACTTTCTCTCATTGATTCTAATCCTCTGATCCTCCTATCGAATCTCAAACGAGAAGTTAAAATTGACAAAGGCAGGGACACCGAAACGGCCATCTCCGACTTATGTGCCGTCGTCAGCCAATGATTCCTCGAATTGTACGCATCGACAATGAAATCTAGTCACTTTGTCATTGGACCTTCTCCTCCCCATACCATATCGCGGACTCACGTGCTGACCGCCTGTAGATGGAAGTTGCCTTTCATTACGAAAACCGGGCCGTCTTCGATGAAATCTCCAAGTATTACATTTTGAAAAGCAGACCTTATTTTCAAAAAGCTATTTCTCAGGATAATCGACTTCCTAAAATCGTCACTTAAGGCATAAACTGGACAGTAGTTGCTTTTCATTAAGCGTAGAAGATCCAGAAAGCAGCACTCGGAACGAGAAGTCGCCATCTTCCAACAGATGGAGGGCAGATATTCTGTGGAAAGCCAGCATGCCAAAAGTACATCGTAATTATTGATGTCATGGTGAAAAAGAAGTGAACACCTCCATGGAGAAACGTGCTTGCAGATTTCGGTTCAAGTTTCCCGACTCTCTGTAGACAATTTGAATGCGGAAATGGAATTGGATGCTGATGCCGTAAATTCCATTTGGACAAAAAACGAGGTCATTACCTTTGATTCTAAAGAATAACGACAGTTTATCACGTAAAATGTTATGTCCTGATTGGTCCACCCAGACGGTCACCTGAATATTGGGGTGCAAAAGTAGCGCCTCCAATAAGAACGCGGACAATCACGTTCGGAAGTCATTCATTTTTAACAGATTTCCATGAGCAATCGTCAATCGATGGCACCAAAGTCAGAGAGCAAACTAACCGACGTCATGCTGGAATTGTACGAATTTTGCCAGAAAACAGAATACGATGTCTATGAACAGCCCTATTATAAGAAATATGTTCACTAACCTAGAAAACGGTTTTGGGATGCTACTAACGGCCATTGAACATGCCCGATTTCCGCTGCTCGGGTATGGGCGACAAACAATCGTGATCAATTAATCGTGTAATTTATATTGTCTCATAGGTATAAAATGACTTTGCGGCCCATTACGCGGTAGCCTTTAGGGCTGAGGATGTCCTTAGTAACACTGCCGGTCGAATTCGATGTTCTGATGGAGTTTAAAACCAAAACGATATTTTCGGTATGATGAAAGTGGCACCACCCCAAAAAGGCAGCGCTTATGCGTTTAGCCCAATCCTCTGGTGGCGATAATCTCCGGACCAACAACTCACGGGTGCTCGACACCATGCTTATCCATCGAACCTGACTAAAAGGACACTGTGGGGATCAAACTTTTCATGCACAGGTTCTCGCCGCCGTGTTTCTAAGCGTTTTGCAATCCTCCTTCGAAATCATGTTAATTCACATTTATATTTATCTTGAATAGGCCAACGGTGCAGCTTCCTACATTCGGTTGATGAAGACTGGCCACGCTATGAATCCATGATGCCGGAATGCGGACAAACTCTCTGGGTTTGGTAGAAACATCGTGCTCCATGCTCCTGCTGATGTGCGGACGATCGAGTTTCCCTCATTTGGCGATATGTTCAAACACGGAACTTTTCTCGTCTGCCCTGTGGCTGACACGTTGAACAGCACCACAATTGATATATTCGGAGTGACAGCTGCGGCAGGCTGACATTCTACGGAAAACAACTTGCTCTGCCAGCTTACGCAAGGCAAGTGTTCAGAACTCTTGCCAGTCGTCAGTAAAGCATATCTGCGACGATACTCTGGCGGAACTTCCCAAGCGATGGTTTTCAGTAAAAGCAGGTTCAATTTGACTCGAATATCCAACTAGAATCCTATACTGGCCCGCGCTAGATACTGCATGCGGTCAAATTAAAGGTTTCTTGTAAAACACCCACCTATACGCCAACGACCCAATGAGGCCTCAATCCTCCCCCGCAGAGGAAGCCTACAAGACCATCAGACACCGCAGCGCGCTCAAACGAATGTCCAGACCCGAAGAATTCAGTGCAAGAGGAAGGTACATAATATCTGTCAACATTTATTTAAAATCTGACAACTGTTCGCAGTCCCGACCAAGGGTGGGGAAGGTGCTTCGGGGGCCTTCACCACTTGCGGCCACCACCACCACCGCCGCCGCCATGCCAGCGGTCACCGCCATCGCCACCCCATCGATCACCACCACCGCCACCCCAAGCGCCAGTCAGTGGTGTCTCCGTCTCCTTTTCAGCATGTTCCTTGTCTGCAGCGTACACCCTAGCGCCGTTCATCGACGTTCCCAAAACGATGGCCGTGAGCAGAAGGAGGTAGAGTTGCAGTTTCATCTCGAGTCGATCAACTGTATATCGATGGCGTCACACTGAGTGGATGCCGACGGCATCTATTTATACTCTGCCGAACGAATTGAGAGGCCCAATGCCTGTAACATGATTGGCTGACGTAGCTTGTCGGGTAAGCGGAGTCTAAAGGTAGCCGCCAACACGTGACCCAGCCCGCACGGCTCAGTGGTTTGCCCTGCACATCCCCGTTCTATGATTGGCCAATCTAACAGCTGCTAGGTGGACCTATGACAACGTAACCAGAGTGCATGCTAACTTCACAACCCAAACCTCAAAATGTACCGATAATCCTTCAAGATTTGCCGCATCCATATTTCTCATCCCAAATGCCCTCATCCAATTTTGGTGAAATTACTATCATGCCAAGCAAATTGCACGTGGTTCATATCACTACAAGTGCTGAGTATTGCGATTGCGATGTCTTGAGAAATAACAACTTCAAGATATTTCCCTATGAATCAACTTGGCCCGAAAGGAAATAGCTGACTCAAGAATATTAATACGCAGGGGCGAGAGATCGGATGACACAATCATGCTTTGAGGGATTCAAGGCGAAAAACAGATACATAATTTGGAAAAAGCCCATTCCAAAGGAGGCAAGTAGAGGCAGATAGAGGGTTCCGAATGTTCCGTCTCATCCACTATCTCCTCGCATATGTGCTGGATCACAACTTGTGACGATATTTCTGTTAGATCTTGTATTCCAGATTGAGATCCAGAAGGCGTTTCTACGCATTTCCATGCAGAAGGTCCTTATCTGTCTGTATGATCCTAGAGCAAAAACGCTGCGCTTCAGATATTCGCTAATGGTTGCATGATTTTCACTAAATCTCATGAATTAAGCCACTTAGCTGATAGTGTTATCCCCTCAGATTTCCGTGAAATCACGGCTACCATGGGCCCACTCCTATTTTGACATTCCGAACTGTCAGTGATCGGACCATTTATAAAAAAAAGTATGCTGAAACCTCGAAGCAAATTGAGATGTCAGCAAGAACCAAAGCACCAAGCCAATTTCAACTGTTCGGATACCGAGCCGCGCAGTATAAAACCACCCTTGGAGCGACCATCATATTGTGCAATTTATACTACCTCATGGAAACAACGTTGTTGTACGCCCTCTTGCAACCAGACAGATTCCTTACCAGTCGCCGTTAGAACTGCCAGAAGTTAGCATTTAATTAACCCCAAAAACCAAAGTTGTCGATTTATCGCCACCACGAAGAGGCGAAGGCCGTTATTGTCGAAAGAGAGTTCTATAGACTATAAAACTTTTTCCTTAGACGGGATTTCTACCTGGAGACAAATAATCATAAAAGAAGGCTCGTCGGAAAATCGAAGTATACTCGTGAATTTTCAAGTCGGTTACACCAACCCATCGTCAGACGAAATGAAATGTGAGGGTGTAGTGGCAGCCATCATGACTGGTCTGGCGCCATTGTTCAAGATCTCGCTGCCTCAAGGTCATTCAGCCCTTCCGCAGTGAGCCGTTCTAGACGCGCTGACCTGACGTCACACGACCGACAGCTCGGGCATACCAACGTCCGCACAGCCGCAGCTGCCCATGCGCCACTCGAACGCGCCATCCCCTGCAACCAGCTAAACAAGCCACTGGGACACCACCCCTCGGCAAATGCAACACACACTGACTGGACACCACTTTAGCTTGGCCCACGAGCCTGCAAACGCGGCTGCCACCACTATCTCAAGGACTCTCAGGCATGGCTGGACGCAGTCAACACCAGCCCTGGCTTCGCCAGTGGCCACTGCCGCCTGAGAGGACAACTCCGGGTTCTTTGGACAATAGACCCCTAATTCTGGTGCCTTCTGTTTTCTCCTTACAACATGGCTTTCGACATGGTGGTTGTAGCGCTCAACCTGCACACACTGACACCGCATAACCACCACAAGGGAGATAATCGCACTAGGGACCTAGGGGGACATCGAGGTTACATCAACAAAACAGACGTCTATATGTGGGGGTGAAGAACGTGTCTGGATAGGTGACGGAAGTTAGGGGAGGTGTTGAGGTTTTCACACATTGTTCACTCTGTGAGGGAGGTGCTGAATACGGGATATTCAAGATGACCGGACGAGTATACCTCGATTTACCGACGAGCCTTCTCCTTATATTATATCGTCTCGGAATGCATACTACTTCCGTTATTCAACAACTAATCATGTCTGTAATGTCAGCACATACTCATTGTCACGGTTAAGCAATGGAGGTCATCCTGAATGCGCCTGACTAATTGTTGGACAGATGCTAAGTAGTATTCAGCCTTCTACATCTTGCCTTAGGGTGAAGTATCATGGTTTATCTGATTGGAGGGAGAGTACAGCTCATGTCAGGGTAATTGCACCCTAGCCATGAGCAGCTTGCAAACTCTTCACATTATCTGGCAGGCTAGATCAGACAAGATCACATCTGCAGTGGGTAGAAGTTGACTGTGCAATGGCTATCCCCGTCAAGTGCATCGACTAGCCTGGCACAATCTGATGCACCGTCGGCCCAAACGCTCAACTCCCCTCCATGTCGCAAATACTCCTAGGCATTCCGCATGTTTGCTCGAAGTGTGTAAGCGTCACTCACCCTCCTCTGTCAATAAAGACTGATTACATGGGACCAAGGGATAGACGATAGATCTGCACATAGCAGGAGTAGGTCTGCAATTCGGACAGGACGTGTGTGGAGGGCTCTCAGTCTAGAGATACTACGGCCAGTCATAGCAACCGTCGGTAATTCGACCCTCTACCTCGCATTTGTGAGTGCCGTTTGATGTTTACAATCAGTGGAGGCGAAGCCGTTCGGTCACTTTAGGTTCATCGATACGGTTGGATGGCCATTCCAGGGCTATAGACCTATGTCGATCGTCTTGTCTGATGTGGTAGTATGGTTCACACAATCTCGTCAGCTAGATCAGACAAGAATACATCTGCAGTGGGTAAAAATGGACTGTACAACGGCGATCGCCGCCAAACGCATCGATTAGCCTGGCGGATTCCAATAACCCTTACCCCAAGCCCGCAACTCCCCTCCATGCCTCCATGCAACCATACTCATCACGTCGGTCATAACCAGGAAACCGTGCATGATCACATCGCTACCGCAGATGACAATTTGGATTAAGTATACACTAAAGGATTCAGTGGATGCGATGTTACCGGACTCACTCATTTATTGCGTGACGTTATAGTGAGGAAATCGATATGGCTTCGGGCCGGCTGATAAGAGGTGAAGGACTGTTTGTATAAAATTAAACGTCTACCATTAGACCACTCTGGCACTTTTCGGTGATATAATCTCACAGACTGAACAACTTCTTACCGTAGGCACGATTTTCTATTGGGAGACAACAAGGGATGACTGTAATGTCAGCGTCCACTCTTTCTCAAGGAAGAGCTCTCGAGACCATCTTGAATGGGCCGACAGCAAATCTGGCATGTTTATTTTGGCAGCTTCTCACTGGCTAGTGTGAATCAGGTTTGTCGCAAATACTTCAAGGCCTTCCACATGTTTGCTCGAAGAGTGTTAGCATCATTCACCCTCTTTAGTCAATAAACACTGACTACTTGGGCCAAGGGATACACGATAGATCTGCACATAGCAGGAATAGGTCTGTAATTCGAATAGGACGTGTGCCGGGGGCTCTCAATCTAGAGCCACTAAGACCAGTCATAGCAACCTTCGGTAATTCGACCCTCCACCTCGCATTTGTGAGTGCCGTTTGATGTTTACAATCAGTGGAGGCGAAGCCGTTCGGTCACTTTAGGCTCATCGATACGGTTGGATGGCCATTCCAGGGCTATAGACCTCTGTCGATCGTCTTGCCTGATGTGGTAGTATGGTCCACACAATCTAGTCAGCTAGATCAAGCAACACCATATCTGCAGTGGGTAGAAGTTGGATGTGCAATGGCTATCCCCGTCAAGTGCATCGACTAGCCTGGCAGATTCTGATGCATCGTCAGCCCAGGCACACAACTCCAGTCTATGCCTCATTTCAACCATACTAATCACACCTGCCATACCTCCGCAACCGCCCCTGACAACGTAGCTACCGCAGGTGACTTCACTGACAAAGTATGCGCGGATTACTCTAAGTGCGTGTCAGTGCTAAATCCTGAAAGACTCAGTGAATGTGACGGTAGCGGCCGCATGCATTTGGTGCGTGACATGCTAGTGAGGGAATCAATGTGTTGTCCTGCTGGCTTATAATGGACGAACGACTGTTGGGATGAATCGAGAAGTCTACAATGAGAGGACTAAGACCCTTCTTAATGATAGAGAATTTTACAGACTAGAGCGCTTTTGCCGTGGACATGGACTTTTTCCCTGGAGACAACAAATGATGTCTGCAATGTCAGCATCCACTCTTCGTCGAGGCTAAGTATTTGAGGTTGCTTTGGTGGGAAATCCACACAAGTTTACTGACACTTGAGACTAGTGTATTGCGAATAATGCTGGTACACACTCGTACCCAGCAATGATTACGCGGGCAGCCACATGCGGACATGTACGCAGTCAAGGAATTATTTAAATTAAATCATTTCATGGTGTATTGGTTAGTTTAAAAAACGGGACTTATACGTGCTCCCTAGTCAAAAGGGAGGAATTTTTTGCCTAACTACATCTGACCTCCTTGGCCTCATTCCCTACTTGTAGCAACTTCAATGGTGAGCAGACACAATTTGCAACCATGCTCATCACACCGGCCATACCCCCGTAACTTTACCGACTAGATATGCACAAAAGGATTCGGTGGGTATGACGGTACTGGCCTCCTTCATTTGCTGCGTGGCGGTCCAGCTGGCCGATAAGTGACATACGACTGTCGTGATAAACCGAGAATTCATAGATGTTTTGGCAGATTTCGAATAATTCATATTGACCCAACTGTGAAGAACTCGGGACCCCGGTGGGACTCGAACACATGCAGTAACGGGAAGGCCTTAGAACTGCCAACACTCTAACCACTTGAGCTA